GCGGGTTGTCTCGAGACTATCTGGACATTGGCCATTTAGGAAATTTTAATTTTTTTTCATTATCTTTCTTTCTTTTTCTATTTTAGTCATATGGATTTTCTTGCAATTATGTTTCATCGAGTTATCAATTGGGTATATACAAATGGCTGGAAAAGTTCTCTGTCCTTATTTTTTATCTAAATAGCTTTCTATTGTATGACCAATAATCAGTCAGTAACCAGTGAGAAAATAATCAGTGACATAAATTGATCATGTTATAAAGCTGAATCCACATAATTGAAATGAAGCAAAATGTTGCATTGGTTTTGGCACAAACTTCCTGGACATCTCTTCGATAATGAATTATGTATTGATGAAAAGATTCTATTCCTGCTAAAAGACAATAGGACAGTTTAGTTCTTAAAAGCCTCTAATGCTATAGCTTGTAGCTTTGAAAGAAAAAAAAAGTAGATTACCCATTTATTTATTCGCCTTATATTTTTAATTCATGAAACTTACTATGTGTCAACTTCAGGTTAATGCCTGACTCTGCACTCACAACACCTAAAGAGAAGAAGCTTTCAGGCAGACAATATTTTGAAAGTGGAAGAGCTGCTGCGGTACTTTATATTCCATAATTCTTCCTCTCTATTCCAATGTATTCATAAATTCTATGTCCTAGATATTCATGAGTAGCTTGGACTAGGTACAGAAACAAGCAGAGAATAATCCTAAAGTTGGCTAGTCAATTGGTAATCTCTAATATCATTTTCCTTTGGAGTCTTCTTCATGGCACAAAGTGATTAAGAGTGACTTTGGGTTACAAAGGAGTAGTTGGGATTTTAAAGCTAGGAGTACCACGACCTGCAGGGACCCCTGAAAAACCATCTCTCAGCTCTACGACCTTTTCATGTGGGTGATAGGTCCAGCATTTTATTTAGGAAAAATACCTTGATTGCCAATTTTTCTTGGCTAGCCTTTTTATACACCTCTATAGCCTTTCCTTGGGCCATAATTCTCATATCTGCCACCTTGTTAATCAAATTGATGGGCCCTCCTCTTAGAATTTGTTATTTTTTTCAGGAATCTAAATGATTGAAAATTAGATGATATTCTTTTTTTTTTCCGCTTAATAGCTTTTAGCCTTTTATTGTCTCTCCACGACCCTATTTTGACTTTCAATTCTTTGAGTCTGTACTCTTGCAGGCCCATCTTAATGTTATTCTAGTTGCCACAATAAGATTTTCACTGGTGCATTTGGAAGGCTAAAGCTCCCTCAACAGTTATGATTTCTATGTAGATTGTTATCCCGAACAAGGAAGCAAGAGTACTTTAGAGAGGAGCTTTCCTTGCTGACTCATGGATGTTACTGTTTGAGCACAATGCTAGATTTTGAAGGATTGTTATTCTCTTCGCCTTTCCTATGTGTCAAATTGATTTTCTTTGCTTCTTGGTGGGCTAAGCTCATGGCTTCCGTAGGGATGTCTCTTGACAGGTTGAATTTGGCACGTTGGAGAGGTGATAAGATTAGTTTGAAAGGCCCTTCTTGGAGGACGAGATTATGAGATCTTGCTTTCACAATAGTTTTAAAGAGGAGAAAGCTCTGGGTTCAGAGATTTTTGATGGCATCTTTCTATGAAATAGAGAGGCTTTCAAGAATGATTCTGGATTTCTGTGATGTTCTTTCCTTTTTTGAGAGTTTTTTTTTTTGTACAGAGTCTCAATCCATGCTTCCGGTGCTCATTCTTGAAGTGGAGGCTGCCTCAAAGTTGGAGATCGAAGCTTGTCAATTTTATGGGTTGCATCCATAAGCTTTTAGCCTAAATAGTTTTTGCTAAAGTACTTGGTTGGGTGGTGGTTGGGGTGGTGCAAGAGACCTAATATGCTCTTTTCTAGAGGGGAGAAAAATGAGGAGCAAGGATTTTATTTGCAAGCTTGATATGGAAAAGGCATACAACTATTTGTATTGGCTTTCTTGCTTTATATGTCACAAAAACGTGGTTTTGGTAAAAAAATGGTATATTTGGATTTATGTCTGCACCTTGTCAGAAACCTTTGTCATGGTACTGATCTGAAGAAAAAAGAGAGGAGAAGGAGAAGAGGAGGAAGGAAGGAAGGAAGGAAAGAGAGTACAGAGAGGAGAATTGGGTACTTATCTTATTTATTTCTGGGTGCATTACAAAACCAAAATAGAGCCTTTCATAGGCTTTTAAGCAATAAAGCAAACAGTTTCAGTGGTTGGGATAATACGGCCATTACATGCGTAGCGGCGGTCGGGGGATGAGATGGTGATGAACGGCGGCTGTGGAAATGAAGAGATGATTAGGGTTTAATTAGGTCAACCCTAACCCTAGATTTTACATAAAAAGACTAATTTGCCTCCCTTTTTGTACCTTTTCCTTTATTACCCTTGAGCATCAACCTTGTCCTCAAGGTTGAGTTGTGGAAACATTTTCTTCGAAAGTCCCTTCCATAACGATTTTCTCCATAGCCATTACTATTTGTGGAGCATTGTCCTTAAAAGGACTGGTCGCCACACTTGTAGCAAGTGGTCGTTGTTCTTTTAGGTTCTGTACCCTTTTGGAGCGGTTGGTCATAATTTTTTGTTTCCCATATTTCTGAGAATTTAACAACTTTACTAGTAAGATATGAACTTTGGGACAATTCTATCACATATTGTTCTTGAAGTAAGGTCTGTTCGAATTCTTGATTAAGCTCGTGGCTTGAGGAGCCTTATCATGGGTTGTAACTTTGGCCTTAGGCCACTGATAGAGGTGGATATGAAAATCTTTCTAAAAGTGTTGGGTTTTCTGCATTCATGAGAGAGCATAAATATTCAAAATGTTCTAAATAATTAAGAACAATACCTATTTGGAATAGTTTGGTGAACTTCTCTATTAAATTTTTCCTTGAGGGTCCCTCGAATTGCCAACAAAATTCTTTCATAAAATATTTCCGGTCAAGGATATCAAATTTGGCTAGCGACTGGTGGCACCATATATCGGCTTTTTCTCCTAAATATAACGAAGTAATCTCCACTAGTTGCTCGTTAGGAATGTTGTGGATCATAAAATATTTTTCACACATTCGAACCCACCAGTGAGGTTTATTCTTTCGAAAAATGGAATTTCCACATTAGGAAGCAAAAAAAGTTGGGCGGGCGCTCGGTGTGGTGCATAGGGTCCATTGGACCGATTCATTTTGGACTGGTTCGGTTCGAACCAATTCGGTCCATGTCCGCCACGGGTAGAGTTCAGTCCGATGAACCAGGCCTAAATAAGGGTTGAAACCCTTATGTGCTATGCTTGCTGCTTGGAGGAGCAGCAGGAATAAGGCTGTTATTCGGGAGAGGAAGTAGATCTCCCTCTTCGTGCGCTCTCGTTGCCATTTTTGGCCGGTTTGCCGTGGGTGTTCGAGCCCGTTCACGTCTCTTGGGAGGGGAAACAGACTTCCCTCTTCGCTTGCATCTGTTGGCTTTGACTGGTCTCCTGATGATGAACCGTGAAGCCAATCCTTGATGGTGTCAAGTTGTTGTAGGATTTCCCGCCTCATCTCATTTACCTCTTCCATGAAATAGGTAAGCTTCTGATCTACTTTTTGTACCGAAAGTTCGGCGCTCTCGGGTTTTTCAGTTCCCGCCGCTGTTGTCTTCCCTTTCGATCGAGCGTGTGTTGCAACTTCGACGGAAGACTCAGTCGGCTCCTGCTCTGATACCACCTTGTCAGAAAAAAAGCCATCGTTTTGTATTTTTTTTCCTTTTTTATCCCTTAATACCCTGACACACCTCTTATCCTTTTCTTTTGTTATTGTAAATGAGGGGCCATCCAAGTTTTTTGTCTTTTGACCCTGCTGTAGGGGCGTTTAGGTCCCCTCTTTCTCCCCAACTCTCTCTTATTGTTATAGAGGCCCTTAACAATCTATTTGTTCAGGCTAAGGAGCTTCCATTGATGTTGGGGTTGATTGTTAGTGATGAGGAGGAGCGGAGTTGTCGTCTCAGCCAAATTTTTATTGATGAAATATTTTTATTTTGTAGACTCATTAAGGAAGCTCTTTTTAGTTTCATATGTATTTTTCTTTTTTTTTCAAGCTGTCTTTGGGTTGAAGATTAGTTTTGCTAAGGCAGAGTTGATTCTTATTGTGGAAAGAGTGGACATTTAGCTTTTCATTTTTTCTTGGAAATAAAAAGTAAAGCATTAAAAGGCACCAGGGAATGCAGTCTATCTAAAAAAGCTTTACAAGTCTTTCAACATATTAATCAATGCCCCTAAATCATCATTAGAGAAAGAAGGAAGACCCTTCGTATATAGATCTATGGTCTGAAACCAAGAATCTTCATCCTATCATGTCTTTGAAGGCTCTTCAATTCCCTCTTCGCAAATAACCTATTGATGCTTTTCCAAGCCCAAATCTCTCTTTAATTGATCCAGCCACAACCCAATTTACCCCCACAAGACTATAAGCCAAACACCAATACCGATAAGAGCAATGACAACATAGTAGAAGATGACTGAAGTAGCATCCATTCGCAATGACTTCCCCCCTCTTGGTCAAATTGTGTAAGAATACACTCTTGTGCCACCTTCCAGGCAAGAAACGTAATTCTAGAAGATGATTTGACCCTCCAAATCAGTTTCCAGGGGAACTCTTTGATCCTTCCACATGCAGCCAAATGGGAGTAGTATGATTTTATAGAGAATGTCGCTTTCATGCTCACTTTCAAATTGGTTCATCTAAATCGTCTGAAGGTCTTCTCCATTGAGGCAAACAATCAAACAAGTTTGCATGTTGTTTCACCTTCTAATAGTTGAGGATCCTTATCAGGTGAAGAACTCAGACTCTGTTACTCTCTGAACTGGGGAAAGAATCTGTTAGCGTTGCCTCTTTGTTGCGAGCCAAAGAATAAATTGTGCGGAAGTGCTACTTTGGTTTACCATCCTCCATCCATTTGTAGGACCAGAACCTCACCTTTTGCCTTGACACGACCTTCCTGCTGTGGCTTCCTGAAGCTCCTCTTTTCCCATACCAATTTTCCTCCATAAGCCGACCCCATAGACCTTCTTGTAGTCCTTGGATAACATCCCATATTGTCAGTAGCAAATTTTGCTTTGACCACTCTCCACCTCAAGCTATCCTTCTCCTTCATCGGTGGAGCTTTTTGCTGTTATTATGGGGTTTTAATGTGGCTTCTTTGTTGCTGACATATCTTAGGCTCTCTCTGGGGCAAAATCCAACACAGTGGTGGCCTATTTTCGGAAAAAGATTTGTTGGGTAAAAATGAGATTCTTGTCTATGGGTAGTAGGCTCGCCCTCAGTAAATGCACTTTGTCCAAATTTAGCCATCTACTTGTCTTTGTTCTTTATTTTGTCCAGCGTGGTTAAGGAGCTTGAGGTTCTCAAATATAGTTTCCTTTGGGGTGATTTTGGGAAGCAAAGCAGACTTTGTTAGTGGTCCAGGAGGTGGTAAAGCAGCCTCGGTCTCTCGGGCCTTGGGATTCGAATGTTGATCCCTTCCAACAAGGCGCTTCTTGAGAAGTGGCTTTGTAGATTCTTGATAGAGGAGACTAATATCTTTGGAGGGTGATTAAAGCCAGTTTTGGAGTGGATGATAGGCGATGGAGGACTAAACTTTATAGAGAGTTGCATGGTGTGGGACTTTTGAAGGGTATGGATGCTGGATGGGATGACTTCTTCAGTTCTATCCATATGAGGATTATTACTGGGAGAAAGATGAAGTTCTGGAGAGATAAGTTGTGGGCGGTCTGTGTGTCTAGTGAGGATAGGTGCTCTAGTCTGTTGGTTCTATATGGTGTTCTCTTTGTACAAAAGGAATGAGGCACCTGGTGAATGGTCTGTTTTCTGGATCAATTGGGCCTGTGGTGTGGAAGGTGGACTTTATTCTTTGCAAGTGAAGAATAAGGGATAAACATTAAACGGGCACCACAAGGGTGTCGTCAACGTACAAAAGGAATCTCACTCAAAGCAAAAAGAGATAAAAACGATCAATGTTATTCTCTCAATATTATTCTCCTTATTAAACACATGATAACTCTTGAACAAAATACACATGGTCCTTAGCCATGATATTTAATGGAAATAGAGGATAAGGTGGTATTTTTTAAATTCTTATCAAGTTACCCAGAAAACAAAGAGGGGGATGAGAGATGGAACTTTTTTCCCTTTGCTTGGTTATTTCGGATTCTGTTCTATGCTCAAAGCTTGTCCTTGATAACCTGTTGACCATCCAAGATAGTTGAGGAGATTGAGATTAGAATCCCAAACTAATGCCGGATGAGTAGCAGTTAGACAAACTTCCTATATATAGTCTAGAAATAGAAGAAATTCATGTGAGAAACAGAAGAATAGAGATAGGGTCAGAAAAAATTAGAGATCAGGGTGAAGAAATATGTAGAAAAGTAGAATTAACGAGATAAAATAACAATTAAAAAAATAAACAAAGAGAGGGAAAACAAATAATAAAACCCTAGCAAAGAAATTTTCAATTCATTATACTAGTATTTGTAGATGCATTAATTGCAACTAATAAAGAAACTTATGAAAGACAAATTCTGAGAAGGAAGCAGTTCTAGTTGCAGCTTTCCTTTTTCCAATGAGTTTCCTTGGGGAATTACCTGAAAATAAAATTAGGCACCTCAGAAAGGATTGTAGAGTACGCTTTGCATCCTTGTAGTGCTTTCAAATGGATGTATATTTCAAAGAATGACGAAAGGAAGTCAGCAGCACGGTGAGAAATCCACTGGATTTCATGTCTATAGACAATCAAAACAGTTATGAATCCTGGTCTCCTTACATTTACCAAGAACAAGAATAGAGGGAAATGAGTCCCTCAAGGGACAACCAAAACACCAGGGGTCAGACGAAAACTAGATGATCCCTGGCAAGGGTTATAGCCGATTCTTGCCATTCCATGCCCAAGGATTATGGCCAAAGGTACTTCGTACAGCATCAAATTGTACACTCGAGGCCAAATTTGGCTTCCAATGAACTTCAACCACAAGGAACCCCAGCAAGTAAGAAATCTCTATTGCCACTTAGCCAATAAAGCTTTGTCAAAGCAAACTAGAGATCTAATCCCTAAACTGCCCTCTTAGAAAAACTTGATTGATCATGTTGAGGCTGCCAAGTGATATTTTTTTATGCTCCATAGAGTCACCCTAAAAGTGTTGAATAAGTTTGAAGTCTGTTAACCACTTTGGTTGGAATTGGAAAAGTGGACAATAATAAGTGGGAGATCGGAAAGGGCCAAAGGATACTTTTAATTAGTAAAGCCTTCCACCTTAGAGTAACTCTGCTTCAACCCAGCCGACTTGATGTAGAATAAATTAGGGTTAATTTGTTTTCTTAGAATTTTGTGATAAAAATCTAGATGTCATATTTAGGATTTCATAGATATCAACCTAAAAAGTCTTAGGTATTGCCCTTAAGGGTTAGATTGTATTACACAACTAAAAAATTAAGAAAATGCTCAAAGTATTTAATTGAATAACTGAATTTTATCTTAAATGTGATATTAGAAAAAAAGTATTTACAGTGCTGTCTAACAATTTTTCAAAAATAGGATTAGACTAAAAAATATAATACTAATAAGATTGGGAAATACTAAAAAGAACAAAATCCTAAACTACTAAAATTACAACAGTAGACTCTTAAATAGCAAAATAGGTAATTACAACAGTAGACTCTTAAATAGCAAAATAGGTTTATATTTAAAAATTATAATCTTTAATTTATTTAAGAAATGAAAACCTAGTTTGTTCTGCATCGCAGCATCTTCTCCATCTTAGAGGCAATGAGATCACAGATTACTCTCTTTAGTTTTAGCACCAAGAGAGAGGCCAAGATGCTTGATAAAAGATCAATTTTTGCACCCAAAAGAATGGGCCAAGTCAGCATCGTTGGCTTCATGCCCAAAAAAAAAAACAATCTTAAATTTGCCCTAATTATCCTTAAGATCCAACTGAAACAATTTCAGAGTTATCTGGTTAATGCTTCCCTCAAAAGAATAAAATAGAAGGTAGGAAGGGGACCCTTCTGCCTTGAGCCCCTAAAATGCTTAAAGAACCTCGAAATCCCACCCTTGAGGACGACAAGAAAGGAAGGGGTGGAGACTCAGTGCAGTTACACCCTAGATTATATATAGTACCCATACAAGGTGTACGTGCATATATGCGTGATATATACATTGTGCATACAATACATATATATGCAGTGTATATGCACGCCATAAATGCAATATCTATACGATGTGCGTGGATGTATGCATGCTGGTATATATACACTGTAAATAAACTATATATATGTAGTATATGTGTATATTATATATGCAGTATATATGCATTGTATGCATACATATGTACATACACGCTTATATACATATATACACTCATACAAACACATAGGCAGTATTTATACACCATACATGTTAGCTTCTGAAACAAGGGAAAACTGAAGGTGGATGGTTGGTATTAGCGGAAATTTGTTCTTCAGTTTACAGAACCAATTAAATATAAAATATATGTAGTAATCAAATTTGCACTCTTTTACAGAAAGGTAATGCAGCACTTGTCAATGAAGGATCTGGTGAGGAAGACGAGGAAGAAATTGACTACGATGAAGATGATTTTGAAGGTAAAATCTGTGCCAGCCTGAAAATTATTGCACCTGTGAATATGAATGATGTTTTGCGAGCACTTAATAGGCATATCTGACAGAAGACGCTATACTTTTTGTATTTTTGTTGTTATTTCAGATGATGAAGAAGCTATGCTTGAGCACTATCTGGCTGAGAAATCTGACTCATCATCTCACCCATCAAGGAGAGCTAATTGATTTTAGAATTAATGTTCTCACATGGTGTAAGAGAACTCGGTGTGATGTAAAATTTTCTTTTGACATTGCGTATAATATGTATTTTTGGGTATGCTTGGGGGCTTGTGGTGGGAAATGTATTCCATGTTTTTTAAAACGTGGAGAGAGAGTTTTTAGTGCAATAAATAGGACAGACGGCATAGACATTACATTCCATTCAAGACTTTGTTCCATAAAAGTTCAGCAGCATCTACTTAATCTTCATTTGTATGTTAAGGCAAAAGTTTAGTGCAGAAGCTGTTCTCTTTGGACAACGATTCGGTTCTGAAGCCTTGAGGATCAAATGACTAAAATACCGTTCATATTCTGCACGTGATAAGTCTACCAACTTAAAGTTCCAGGAATGCTTTATATAATTTACCCAAATGTTGCCTGTGGGAAAATGAACAAGCAAATTGGTTTTTTTGCCGTGTAACGGTTTTGTGGCCTTATATACGGCGACTAGCCATATGTATTGGTGCCACAGGATGTGCATCAGTAGTCATCCAAGGTACCATGTACAAGATCATGAGAAACGAAAATTATGTTCTGAAGTTAAATTATTAAAATGGACTTCTGTTGCTGACTGCAAAATGGAATGTCTAAACAGAATAGAATAATCCAGTTGTGGTAAATGATTGAAATTTATTCGTCTCAATTTCTAAGTAACTCAGTTCTAGAACAAGAATCGGACGACATATGACATGTCTAAGAACAAATCTTTTATCACAGCCAGTCCAAAGCCCCATTTCTATTCTAAACCAACATTTGCCCTAACATCAGGGGGTGTAAATAGATGTAATGCTCAACTCAATTCCCCAAGAAGTGCTAAATTACTTGTATGTTACAAAATATATCCACCATGTCCTCAAATTTTCTTCTATAGCTTTTAGAAGAGCGAGGTCTTGAAATTTACACCAAAAAACTGATCAATCTCCAGCTTTCTCCTTCCCAAGGCCATATTACAGGCTTCAAACCAGCAACCAGCTTTTGGGACGCATGCTATAATTTATACATTTTTTTGTGAAATCTACACACATCCTTGATCAGTCATAGCTTGAGCAATATTCAGAAAAGCAGAGATGACTGCTCCATGTGCCAATGCCCTGTTCAAACAATAAACCAGGAATAAGAATACACATCTCAAGAAGAAGCCTGCAAGCTCTTTCAGCTGAGAAATAAAACCCAACTAATTTACATCCCACAGAACTTGAATCTAATCCAAGGACGTGAGGTGCTATGCCAACTCAAAGGCCTCAGTCTCTTTATTTTTTAAGAAAGAAAGAGGGAATGTGGCTTATCTTACTAGTAAAAAAACTTCTTTTAACTTCAAACGATGTAAGATAAAAAAAAATATTTCGCACACCAATAAAAGCTTCTCCTGGAAACAATTTAGTTTCAACACAGTAGTTTCAATACCTACAGCTTTAAAATGTCTTAAACTTAAATTTAATAGTCATTTTCCTAATAAATTATGTAAAAATTAATTTTCAACACTTTTTGTCCATCCGTTAATTAAATACAAAATCAGTGATCAAGCTGGTTAAAATCCTGTGTAAGGGTGCAATTTGGAACTGGAGTGTTTTAATAAATAACTTGGAAGGGTATTTAACAAGTCAGGGTTTTCATATTTAAAAAGCCAGGGTTTTGAAAATGCAATTCAAGTGTAAGTTCTCACTTGAGGAAATGATAAAAAGTACATCATACTTTTATGTAATTTACCTTAAAAGGTATTAAAACCACAACGAAAAAAATATTTGGCAAGCCCAAGAGGGCTTTAAAACCTCAATGCAGAAGATTCTTTCCTTCTCCATGGATTCTATGGCACTAACAGTAAAGTTACTTACTC